CCAGATTCTAACCCGTTTGAGAACGGAACATAGCAGTACTACAAGAGCAATACTTCCTGAAATGATGAATAAACCTGCGAAAGGCCAAGGCCCCAAACTCGACGTCTCATCAACTTGGCTCGATAAAGAAAAATTGAAGGTGGACAACATTGTTTCTAACTGTGGCATCTTTCTTCTCTCTATTAGTTCAATGATCGATGTCGATATGTCCACTGCTAAAGTTGAACCTTTTGGAAAAGCCTGCAGCTAAAGTTGAATCGTGAGCTATATTGTAACAGTTCAAACTCACTCACCGCGAGTAAATATTGTTTTTTTAAAACTTTTTCTTTTGGATTTTCCTTCGAGGTTTTAAAATGCGTGGGAGGTTTCCACGCCACGATAAAGAATGTTTCGTTCTCCTCTCCAACCGATGTGGGATCTCGCAATCCACCCCCTTGGAGCCAACCATTGTCTGGTGTCTGGCTCTAAAACCATTTGTAACCGCTCAAATCCATACTATTAGATATTGTCCTCTTTGAGCTTTCTCTTTTGGGCATCCCCTCAAGGTTTTAAAATGCTGGGGAGAGGTTTCTACACCCTGTCGGGAATCCAACAGATGTGAAATCTCACAATACACCCCCTTGGGGCCAGCATTTTTGCTGGCACATTGCCCGGTGTCTGACTCTGACACCATTTGTAACAGCTCAAACTCATCACTCACAAATATTGTCATCTTTAAACTTTTCATTTTGGGTTTCCCCTAAAAAACGTGTGTATGGGGAAGAGGTTTCCACGCTCGTGTAAGGAATATTTTCTTCCCTTCTACAACAGAGGTGTGATATCACATATATTGTTTCAATTAATCTCATTACTAAAACATAGAAAGAGATTATAAATTAATATGAATTAAACTTACGAAACCGATGCCACCCAGATCGAAAGTAGCTGCTGTGGTGTAGCCTTTGCGGTACCTGGCAAGAAAGACCTTGGCATGGGGAGTTATGAAGAAAGCTGCTTGAATGTCTCCGTTGTCAAAGGCCTTTGGATAATCATCAATGGTAGCGAGGGTCTTAATATTATCAGGAGGGATGTGCAAGACATTGGTTAGATATCGCATGATGAAAGAATTAAAGTTGCAGCCCACAGTTGCGTTTGTTTGCCTCAATGTTTCAATATCAACAACTGATGGAGCGAATCCCGAAACTGTCATCAGTGAGGTAAGACTTGCACTGAAACATGAGGATACCACAAGAATTACGATCAACCATGGCCCTAACACCAGCCGAGCTAAGGCACCATCCACTTCGTCCCCTGCATATGCATTTATGACAATTTGTTGTTGTTCATAGGCAACAGTTTCAAACACCCAAATAATAATAACAATAATGATAATCTTACCATTTGCGTTAAAAAGGACAGATATTGCAAACCAGAGCATATCACCGAATCCTGATTTCAACCCTTCACTTTCTGGCCTAACAAACCACACAACAGAGATTATAAACATATGGGACAGTGGCAATATTATCCACATTGTCGTAGAAAATGTTTTCATGAATACCCATATTTCTTTCCAATCCCTTTTCTCTTCTTTCACTATCATAAGAAGCCCAGACACCATATATGACTCTGTGAAGTCCACATATTGAAATCGGTCTGCAAATATTCCGATATCTCCCACTGCAGCATCCAAACCCTGATACAAAAAAACAGAGCATTTTCATATAAATAGACCAATCTTTTCGATTATATACTAAGAATTACTGAAAAACGAAAGTGTATAGAAGAAATGTTTGGTTTCCCCCCTTTATTTACCTTTGCGTGGACTTGCTTTACCAATTCATCATAGGAACCATGGAAGGGGACCAACTGGTAATGCAATGGATAAGGCAGGTTTTTTACGACAGCTTCAAACACAAAGATGGAATATCCAGAGATGTAAATCCCATTGATGTGATCGTAAGATACTTTCACAAATTCGTGAAATGTATTGTTGGCTGGAACTCCAATTTTTAAAACTCTGTATACTTTAGAATTCGAATCAATATTTATCCGTCGTTTCAATCCTGTTTGTTCATTTCCTTCCCAGCAAACCAATCTTGGAAATTCCAAAACTCCATTTCTAGTTCTTTCGTTTATAATGCTCATAATTTCTTCATCTTCCATCAAGCTTTTGAAAAATCCAACCTTTTGTCTCCAATAACCCATCTCTTTGTAGCTCTTACCCACCACGTAAATGATTTCAAAAGTGGGTGGTTGTTTCAACGTACCATTCTCGAATCTTATGTTCCCACTAAGCCCTTCAAATTCAGTGGCTAGGATTTGCTTCAACAGTTGTTTGTTGCTGAAATTTCCTTGCAATTTATGCACGGCTGCGGCCACGGCCCATGATGCGTCGTAAGCCCGAAGGGCAAAGATGCTCGGCTCCGAATTTTTCTCCTCCTCTTCCTCTTCTTCATCATGATGCTGATATTCTAAACGATACATTCTACGGAATTTGCTTCTGAATTTCTTGAATGAATCTTTGGTATGGTCAACATAAGTTCGAAACCCAATGACCCCCTGCATGTCATAGAAATTAGATGAATCCAAAGAATCCAGAAGACTGGATATCTCATCTCCAACAATCCAAAAGAATCCATTATCCATCATTTTCATTCTTTTTGCTCTGTGAAAGAGGAGTTTGGCCAACTCTATGGAAAATTGCACCACAATGAACACCCTGTTCCTCTCACGACCCATGAGACTTTTGAGCTTCTCCTCAATCATGGCTTCTGTATGCGAGGAAGAGAAGGCAGAGATCTGCTCAATCTCTGCATTGAAAACTCTAAGTTCGTTGGAGAGGAGAGTCAAGGCCTCCATGTTGATCGACATGTCGTTTCTGTTCTCGTAGATTACGGTAACTTTATGCCACTGAAAATGTCCGACGAGGGCGGCTGCGCACTGCATGTGGAAGGTGATGTGGTGAGCCATTTGAATGAAGGAAGGCGGCGGCAACAGAGGAGGAACAGAAGCAGCAACTGGGAGCGATATGGTGGCAATATCGACGCTGGTTTTGTTAATCTCGAAGATAAATTGCATTTCTTGGAAAGTAAATCCTCCAAGAATGGCACGCACTTCTTTCCTGCTAATCAGATCCAAAGCTGAAATGGAAAATAAATATAAATTACAGCTCTAATTTGAGAATATTTAACAGCTCTAAGAAAATAATTTTATGGTGAAAATGCTAATTTAATTTCTTCTTCCTCCTTTATAATTTTCTTTTTTCTTCTTCTTGTGGTGTTTTGTCTGTTTGTTTTTTATTTAAAAGTTAAATTAAATTGATCTTGTTGAATGCCAAGAAGAAGACGAAAAGGCTGATGATTATGATTTTTGGATTTGTTTTTTCTTTTCTTTTATTAATTTAATTTAATTTTAATATTTAGTCCTAATAAATTAAAATAAATTCTCTTTTAATAAGTCGTTAAATGCCACGTAACCCGCCTTGTAGTTAATAATTATTATCATGTCACCCTAACAAAATGTTGGAAAAAGAAATCAAGTTAGTGAGATTATCCTAAATTTTTGGAGTTGCTTTCAAAATTTAAAATGTAAACAAACTATTTTATATTTTTTAAATTATAATAGAATATATAATGACTTATGTAGCATCCTCATTCGTAACAAAATAATATTATTGATCAAATTGCAAATAATAAATTGAGAAGATTGTGAGATCTTTGAACAAAATAAAAAAAAATGGAATTAGGTGAGGTATCTAATTCAAGTATTTTGTTTTATTTTGAAACCTACAAATTTTTAGTATTTAAAAAACCCAAGAAATATTATTTTAATGCATCAATTCCTTCATATCTCAGCACAGGCATGATTTCTTCATTGAACTGAGATATTAGCCAATTTTCAAAAATAATAATAATAAATAAACTCGAGAATTATTGAGAGAAGTAGTCTCAGATTGACTAATTAAGAGGAAGATCATGAATTTATAACTAAAAAACGCCATCTCCATTGGCATGAGACCTTTTGGAGAAAGAAAAAGCAAAATCACGAGAGTTTATGCTCAAAGTGGATCATATCATATCATTGCGAAGGTTCGTGATTCCTAACATAGTATTAGAGCTATGACTTTGACTAAACCACTTATAGAAAATCCCCGAGTGTTAAACAGTAAAGTTGTGAGCCTCAAAGGTGACTCAAGTGTCGAACAAAATGTGTACTTTGTTCGATAACTCTAGAGAAGGAGTCGAGCCTCGGTTTCGATTAAGGGAAGATTGTTCGAGAGCTCTCTAAAATGAGGCCTCGGGGAAGGCTCTGACACTCAAAGTGGACAATATCATAACAGTGCTGAAGTTTGTGATTCCTAACAACTTCGAGTATACTTCAATATACATATATATTTTTTTTTTCTTTTTTTCTTTCTAAAAAAGTGAAAGGGTATTAGTGTTAGTTCTCAAAATTTATGGTTAAGGAAGTTTGTGAAAAGTAAACTTTTTAAAAAGTTACTCTTTTAGATGCAAAGTTATAATATATAAAAAAGCTTTCTTGGGTTGACTGGGTTGTAATTTTTTTGGTACGGTTTTATCCAGAGAGAAGAAGGTGAGTTGGAAATCCAGAAACTTACCAGAAGTCATAGCGCGAGCCGAGTTGCCATTTGAGTCGTTATGAAGTAGCTTCAACTTTGGAAAGGAAGTTGAAAAGGGGAAGGAATGGAGAGCCATTTCCATGGCTATCTTGTGTTGTCTCCCAATCCTCGAACTCTGATCTGTAACGCCACCCACATGGCTGTTTATTGCCTTGCCTTCTTCCATCTTCACCTGAAGCAACAGAAATAGAAACCCCACAAAACAGGAAACCCAAGGCTTTGTTGTACCCATGGCCTTGCAATTTCAACGCTTTCCAAACTCAGTCGGGTTTGATAAACAGATAGTTATATAGCTCTGTTTTTAAAACAATTTTGTTGAGGTTGAACGGTTCAACCTATGTGAGTTTGGGGGAGGAGGGGACGAAGGAGAGTGGAAGAGCATCAAAATTAGTTTTTTTTTATATATATAATGGGATTTGATGATACAAAATTGATTACCAAAACTACAGTTGCGTTGACTGAGATTATCTTCTATTTTTCTTTTCATTTCATAGGTTGAAGGATTGATGAAGAGGAGTGTTTAAAAGCAAACCAATTGGGGAAATGGGTTTTGGTTGAAAAGGGGTTTTTGGCTGAAAAGGGGTTTTTGGTTGAAAAGGGGTTTTGGATCCACCGCAGCTTCATTAATGCGAGATGAGTAGCTGTGAATAAAACTGCGATGGAGGCAATGACACCTGAAAACAGGAACAGCCCGGCAAAAGGACCGGGTCCTAAACCCGATCCCCCGTCTAAGCTTTTGTGGTTTGAGCAATTGAAAGTAGATAGCAATGTGGCCTCGAAATCCGGCATTTCTCTTCTTTCGATCAGCTCCGCGATTGACAAGGATATGTCCAAAGTGAGGGGAGATCCTTTGGGAAAAGCCTGCATACATGCATAAACCCAAACCATGATTTTGAAATTAAATTAAATTAAATAAGAGAGAATAATGAAGAAGAAGGTAAGTTAGTGTATAGATTACAAAACCCATGCCGACCAGGTTGAAGAGGGTGAGTTTGGTGAGGCCTTTGCAGTACTTAGCGAGGAAGATTCTTGCATGAGGAGCTGTGAGAAGGGCCGCTTGGATCTCTCCCGTTTCCAAGGCGATTGGGAACAAATCCACGGAGGGGAGTTGTTTCACATTCTCTGGGGGAATAGAGGCCTGAGATAAGAATCGCATCACTATAGAGTTTTGTGTGCATCCCACTGTCGCATTCTTCAGTTTCAGTGATTCAATGTCGTAAACCGGTGGTTTGGACATGGTGATTGTCATCATGGACGACAGGCTGGCTGTGAAACTAGATGTTATTATGAGGATGGCGAATAGCCATGGCCCCAACACCAATCGAGCCAATCCACTCTTTATTGGTTCTCCTGCAATTCATTCAATACATCTTATTATTATGAGTTTATAAGAAATGAATACATCTCCATTGTTACGAGACCTTTTTGGTACGAGGCCTTTTGAGACGCCCAAAACAAAAGCATGAAAGCTTATGTTCAAATTGAATAATATCATACCGTTTTGAAGACTTATTATTTCTAACATGTTATTAGAGCAGTCATGTCTGTCAATAGAATCATAGTGAATCTCGAAGGTGTAGTCAAAAGTGACTCAAGCGTCGAATCAAAGGGTGTACTTTGTTTGAGGACTCTAAAGAGGAGTCGAGCATCGATTAATGAGAGGCTATTGTTCGATGACTTATAGGCCTCAAAGGGGAGGATTGTCGGGAATTGTTGCGAAGGCGAACGCAAAAGCAAAAGCATGAGAAGTTGCATGCAAATAAAATACTTACCATGGGCATAAAAAAGGACAGACACAGAGAACCACAGCATGTTTCCAAAACCCCTCAATGCATCATTATGTTCGCGCTCAATCAGCCAAATGACAGAGCTTACAAATATATGCATGGAAAGCATTATGAGCCACATTTGTGCATTGAAAGCTTTCATGAAAAGCCATAATTGCGTCCACTCCAATGGCTTCTCCTTCACTATCATCACCACTGCATTTTCCAAATATGGCTCAGAAAATTCCACATACTGGAGTCGATGCGCCACTATCCCAAAGTCTCCTATGGCTCCATCAAACTCCTTTTTCTCCACTTTTTGCATCAAACTATCGTAAGTCCCATTGTAGGGAACCAACTCGTACGGCAAAAAGTAAGGCAAATTGTGTGCAACTGCTTTAAACACAGAAATGGAGTATCCCGCGATATGAGGAGGCGCCCCATCCGTGTGATTATAGTTCACATGAACCATATCAAGGAAAGTAGCCGTGGTTGGAACCCCCAACTTCAATACCTTCTTTCCGTACCTAAAATCCCATCCCCTTGGCACCCTTCTGCCGTTACCTGGCCACACCACTAGGCCCCATGAATCGATGGTTACGTTTCCTGCTCTTGTTTGTTGGGGTAATTTATCACAAAATCCAAATTCTGGGGACCAATATGCAATCTCTCTATAGCTTTTACCCACAACGTTAATGATTTGGAAGATGGGTAATTGTGACAATATGCCATTCTTAAAGCTGACCACACCGCTTACACCTTCAAATTTACTTTCAACCACTTTCTGCGCCCATTCATTTCCTTGCAACTTGTCCATGGTGGAGGCAATGGCCCAATATGCATCGTAAGCTCGAAGTGCAAAGATACTTGGCTCACCTTGTCCTTCTTCTTCTGGGAATTCAGATAAATAATCCCTCCGGAATTGGGTTTTGAATTTCTTGAAAGACCTTCTTCTTTCTCCATAATTGATCTTACACCCAATTACGCCTTGTAAGTTATGGAAAACAGAGGAATCTAAAGAATCAAGAAGGTTGGCCATCTCATCCGCAACAATCCACACGTACCCATTTGTCATCATGTTCAATTTGGTTGCTTTTTTGAAGAGAAGGGTGGCTAACTCCATTGAAGATTGCACCAAAATGAACACTCTGTTACTGTTACTGCTAAGGTTCATAAGCTTCTCTTCGATGAGTAGCTTAGGATCTGATAAAGAGAAAGCAATGTGATTTTCAATCTCTGAGTTGGCATCTCGAAGTGAATCAGAGAGGAGCTTTAGAATTGCCAGATTGGTCGTAAAGTCGTTATTCCTCTGCTCGTACAGAGCAGTAACTCTCTGCCACTGGAATTTGCCAACTATGGCTGCAATGCATTGCAGTTGGTGGGTGATATCGTTACCCATTTGAATAAACGACGACGTCTGAATTGGGTTCGTCTGTGGCGGTACTAAGGAAGCTGAACGTAACGACATTATAGCGATATTCATCGAGGCTTTATGAAGCTCGAAGATTGAAGATACTTCCTCCCTAGTCAATGTTCCAAACATGGCTTCCACTTCTTTGTTGGTAGTTGGATCAAAAGCTGGTATGAAAGTAAATAGTTATGTATTTTTTAATAAATGAGGTTGAGGGAAGGTGGATGTTACCTGCAGCGGTTGCGTGGGCGGAGTTATCCGGCGAAGTCACAAGGAGAAGCTCCACTGAATGGCATGAATTAAGAAAACGATAATGTTTGGAAGCCATCTGAATGGCCACAATCTGTTCTCGCCCCACCCTTGAGCTATTATCAGCAATAACTCCCATCCTTACACCTCTTTTTGGGTTGTTGGAATCACATCTCAAGTGGGTTTCGTGGGTTTCATTAGTCTTAGCTTCTGTGGAGGATCCGTCCAACAGGACAAACCCAACCGCTAAGCAAAAGAAGCAAAGAGCCCGGAACATGATAACTTGTTGTATTTTTTTTTCAGGGTTTTGGACTAATAACAAATATAATCATCTGCTGACAATTATATGAGGAAAATACCAGTTTTGGGCATTGAATTTTGAAAGAGAAAGGGGAAGGGGCTAAGGAGATTGTGTTGGACGATTCTTTCAAACACTTACCTTTCAAGTTGGAATTTTGGGAACGAGAGGGGTTTTGTCGGTCTTTTTTCTACTACAAAATGGAAAACTTTAGTACAAGATAGAATCAAAATAAATGAGTAAAGACGAGTCCACACGTTACAAATTTTCTCCACCTTGCTAGGAAGGGAGTTCGGAAGAAACAAGGAAAAACAGGCGCACTACATCGCAACTAAACTATCGAACATATGGACAGACTTAGAGAATTATTAAACCATTTCAAAACAATTGGTTGCGCGAGCTTGTGATCAAGTGGGGGCATTAATGTGTTGCCCAAGTTGGGAGCATTAATGTGATGGGACAAGAGTGTGCTTGGTCAAATCCAAGCCCGACTTATCTCAAGTCCGCTTATTCCAAGGAACGAATTCACCAACAATGGCTGCAAGGCACCGTATTTGTTGGGTGATATCGTTAGCCATTTGAAGAAATGACGTCGGAATCTGCTTCGTCGGTGGTGGTACTATGGAAGCTGAAGATAACGATATGATAGGGATATTCTTGGAGGCTTTGTGGAGCTCAAAGATTGAAGATACTTCCTCCCTTGTCAATGTTCCAATCATGGCTTTCACTCTTTTGTGTGTAATTAGATTTAAAGCTGTTATACAGATAAACAATTAGATTATAAAAAAAAAAAAAAAAAAAAAAAAACTTTGAACAATTTTGATATATTTAATTAACATTTGGAATTTTTTTCTTTTTTAGGAATTTCAAAGTTTTAGGATTGAATAAGTTGATGGTTAGAAATCATGTCTCTTTCACAATCTTTAAGATATTGTCGCGTCTACTTTGAGTATAAATTCTAGTGATTTTGTTGTGGGTTCTCCTAAATTAGTCAATGTAGACTCTCTCCCAACAATTCTCAACAGTGACGATAGAATGAGCGGTAGAGAAATGGTTGATCTTACCGGTAGCGACAGCCTGAGTGGAGTTGTCGGGAGAATCCTCGAGGAGGAACTCAACCTTGTGGCATGAATTAGAAAAAAGAGGATATTGTTTGAAAGCCATGTGAATGGCTACAATCTGTTCCCTCCCCACTCTTGAGCTATTATCAGCAATAACTCCCATCTTCACTGCTCTTTTTGGGTGGTCGCCGGAACATCTCAGGTGGGTTTCATTAGTCTGAGGCGTTGAGCACAAGCCATCCAACACCAGAAACCCAACCAAACAGAAGAAGTAAAGAGATGGAAACATAGTGTATGGTCAAGTTTTGGAGATGAGAAATTGTGAGACATCTTATCCTCCACCCAATTAGACAATGAGAAACTTCCTCTAGCATTAATGACGCAAGACTTCGATGCAAGAAGACTGCAAGCATCTTGTCTGGAAAGAAAATGGTTGGATAATTACAGGTCTTGGTCCATGGGAAAGAAATTAGTGAAGGAAGGTATTATATTGTGGCCAATATTGCTTGGCCCACAGCTATTAATGAATGATTGTCTTTAAAGCATATATATTCCAAATAAAAACAGCACATTCGATGGAATATTCTCTCCTACTTGACTTACAACACTGACTTGGAATTATTTGTTGCAAAAAACAACACTAAATCACAGCTGAATGTATCTAAACGCGCCTCCATATTTAATGAACAATACTAAAACAGGGTTGTAGAATGTGTCTACAACTGTTCTTGGATGTAGGCCTGGTCTAAGGTACGGTCTTGTGGGGTCCAATGGAGTTTTGAATCCAGCCCCAGTTTGGGTATCATGAATTGTAGGCCAATATATAACAAAACGAACAAAGCAATAGAGCCACAAACAAAGAATAGGCCTAGGAAAGGTCGAGGTCCTAAGCCCACCCTATTTCCTTCGTTAGCTGAAGGGCAATTGAAAGAGTTGAGTAGGGTTTTTTCCATTTGTGAGATATTGTTTTGTAGGGTTAATTCGGCGATGGATTTAGAAACCTTGGCAGCAAAATCTGACCCCTTTGGAAATGCCTATTATGAAATAAAATATTTTGGTTATTTTAAAAATTAATTTTGAATGAACAAATTTGAGTGTAATTTTGAAGGGAATAATATATATGATACTCACAAAGCCGATCCCGCCGAGCTTGAAAGAGGAAACGCCTTTGGTGTAGCCTCGGCAATTCTTTGCGAGGAAAACATCTGCATGGGGGCTTATGAAGAAAGCAGCCTTAATGGTATTATCCTCAAATGCCTTTGGGTAATTATCTAAGGACTCCATCCTCTTAATATTTGATGATTCAAATTGGAGGGTATCCTTGAGATAATTGCATATGAAAGACTCCGCATTGCACCCAACCGTGGCATTCATCTCCTTCAACATTTCAACAGTGGTCACCGACGGTTGAGACCAAGAGATCGTCAACATTGACGTCAAGCTCGCTGAGAAACTCGCCGTGACCACGAAAATCGCAAACAACCACGGCCCCAGCACCAACCGAGCCAACCCATTTTTGACGGGCTCTCCTGCATTATAATTGAAGTAATAGATATGGAGATGTATTGTTGTTTATTAGATCATAAGTAGTATTATAAGGGTTTATAAGAAAGGACTTACTTTGCATGTAAAAGATGAGGGAAACAGAAAACCACAGCATGTTTCCAAAACCCTTCAACTCCTCGTTATTCTCACGTTCAATTAACCAAATAAGGGAGGAAATGAAAAGATGCATTGTGGGTATTAACACCCACACTTGAGGCTTAAAAGCATCCATGAAAGCCCACAACTTTCTCCACCTCTCATGCTTCTCCCTTACCACCATCACAATGTCCGTCTTTAAATATGCCACCGTGAAATCCACTTGTTGAAATCGCTTTGCCAGTATTGTTATGTCCCCCACTGCTCCATCGTATTCCTAACACATCACATTCAATTAGTACGATGCCACATCTTATACTCTGATACTCAGAGTAGACAATATCATAGTAATAACAGTTGTGTTACCTTCACGTAGACGGCATCTATCATGTCATTATATGAGTGGTTGAAACGAGCAAACTTGTAGGACGGCATATTTTTAATGTTGTTCATAATCTCATTAAACACGGCAATGGAAAATCCACTGAAATGTTCGGTTCCATTCTCAAACGTGTGCACGTTTACGAATTCTTGACACGCTCCTTGCCCTGGAACAGCAAATGTCAATTGTTTTTCTCCATCACCATCTTCTCTGGTAAAGCTTTCTGATAAATGTCTTACACCCACCATATTTCCCATATTGTTGGATCTAAGAGCTGATTTTTTATTATTTTCCACGAAGCTCTCAGCAAAACCTGATTTGGGTGTCCAAAAAGCAACTGGCTTGTAACTTTGATCCACCACTTTAATGATTTCAAAATTTGGTGATCGAGATATTAACATCCCATTCTTGAATCTCACCATTCCACTAAGCCCTTCAAAATTGCTCTCTAGAATTGTCTCCAATAGTTGATCACTTGAGCTTAAATTATTATCTCCCAAAGTTTTCATGGCTCTGGCGATGGAACGAACCACGTCGTAAGCTCGAACGGCGAAAATACTTGCTTTTATTGGCTCTTTATCTTCTGGATATTCTAAATTGTACATCTTCTTAAACTTGGTTTCGAAGCTCTTGAAGGATTTTTTGGTGTCATTGAAATATGTTCGAAACCCAATAACACCTTCCATTTTGTACAAAAGAGAAGAAGAAGAATCTAAAGAGGGAATGAGATCTAAAACATCATCTGAGACGATCCAGGTATATCCATTTCCAACCATATTCAATTTCTTAGCTTTTGTAAATAGAAGATCAGCCAGCTCTAGAGAAAGTTGTGTTACTACAAAAACCCCATTCCTTTGGCTCTTCATAGCACTTTTCAATTCATTTTCAATCAATATTTCAGCTTGATTGGAGGAAGAAGATAAGGCCAGACGGTGATCGATCTCTACGTTTACCAATCGAAACGAATCGAAGAGACGATCGACCGAGATGGAAGAATATTCAGAGGGATGATCAATATTTGTGATTTCATAAAAGACAGTGACTTTTGGCGGCAATTGAAAATGGGTCAAAATTGAAACAATGCATTGCATGCGGTGGGTGATGTTGTTGGCCATTTGAATCAAAGATGGGATTTTTTTAGGGTGTAATTGTGTAGCTGAAATGGAAAGGATGGGAACTCCGACAGGAATTTCATGGTCGGAGATGGCAATCAAATCCTGCGCTCTCACTGATCCAATAACTACCGCTTTGACTCCTCCGTTGGTAATGAGATCCAAAGCTGTCGGAAAAACGGTTACTTACTGTTTCTTTACATACGATGATTAAGTTGACTTATAAAGTATTAAAAAAATCACAAATTAAAACAATTATTAAACTTTTATATCATTGAAATTGTTAAATTTTGTATGATTCAATGTTCCACTTGATGATTTATGTTTATATATTAATTAATTAAATCCAAAGTCAAACAATTAGGAAATCTTGTAAGTCTTTCCCTAACATACTCTCCAATCAAATGGTATTTTATAACATAATTATAAAAAAACGACTTATGAAATTTTGTAGCCGTCCAAATCCTATCTTTTCTCTTACTCTATGTATTCATGAATTTTTTATAAGAACATAATTTTAGTCCACGTAATATGTTATTTTATTTTGGAGAAAAAATAATTGCAATTCATGAACTTCTTTTCTAGTAAATAAAGTCGAGTTACGGATGAGTTAGGTTAACCCGAACTAAGGTTTTGGTTTGAATTTTCATTTTGATCGAATCCATAGCATAAAATTAAAATCCATTAATGTTGATAACTTAACAAATTTTCATATTAAAGGAGGTTTTATATCCATTGAAAACGAGGATGTTTAATTTTATTGTGTAAAATAACTATGAGCATGTGAACAAAGGAGATTAAGATAAAGGAGAGTTGAAGGAGAATACCAGAAGAAGTGAAGTTTGGATGAGAATCATGGAGAAGAAGCTCCAACTTATGACAGGAAGAAGACAAATGAAAGTGCCTCAAACCCATCTTCATGGCTACCATCTGCTGCTTCCCAATTTGAGAGCCACTGTCGAAGACAGCTCCAATTCTTGTAGTTTTATTATTTGGTTGGTTTCTTTGACAGTGGAGTCCTTCTGAGCTCAGCAGCAACAGCAAAAGCAACCCCAGAAAGCAGGAGGGGCGGCAGAAGCCATTACGAAGAATCATTTCTTGCACTCTTTTTTTTTTTTTTTTTTTTTTTTTTT